GTGCACCCACCACCCTGTCAGTGTGCGTTCTTTCTTTCTCCTACAGAAATTCCAGGAACTTACACCCCATTGAGTCAGCCCCGCCGCTCCGATGCCTCAAACTTGGGCCTCTTTCGCCTGTTTCGTCACAAGAAAAAACGATTTCGCTCAGTCGGTAAGCGTTGTTTTTGCCTGGTTCTGGTTCATTTTCCCATCGTTCCTATGACTACCAGTCACCATCTTCATTAGGGTTTTTCCACCGACCTTTGGGACTGCCAGATACTGTCTTTTCTTGTTAGAAGAATCTACGGAGCTACGGTCGTAGGTGTATGACCCACCATGCATAGCTGCTCTACTCCAAATGACACCCGCTTCTATGCGAAATTCCGCTTCGCCAGAGACTAGTATTCGATCGTAATCCGCTTTTAAACTGCGCCCGCAACCCCTGGCTCTGAGGCTTCATCGTTCAGCTGCAACACCCTGTCGGTGCCTGGCTGTCAAGCCACCCGAAGGGAGCACGGGGACTGAGATACTGCCCAAGCCTAGACAGGACCAGTCGAGATGCTGGGTTCGAAGCATGAACGTTCCGGACAGTAAGTCCGCTCCTAAACCACTGAGCCATCTCGTGATTTGTGATGAATCCGTGCCAAACAGCTTTGCGTAGTTTCGTTTCAGTTTCTCTTTCTACCCTTGGATTTCCTCATCCTAGGATGCCCTTGCATACACTAGGTGACGTCCGAACGTCTACGGTAAAGTTGCTAGTAGTCCGCGGGATTTTTAGTGCGCGTTTTGGAAAACTAACATCAGGAACGGGGATTTTGTCCCTCAGAAACCCACAAAACGGAACCCAAGGTCGACTCGGCTTCAATTTCGGTTGCCTCACTTGGTCCCGTTTCATCGCAGGCCCCAACCAACCGAATTCGCGCCCTGTTCGTTTCTCGTCTCATCATAGGGAAGGATGATCCTATTCTCACCCGCACTTATTTCAGATGAAGAGGATAGAGGTGGAAATGGGAAAGCTGAGCTGATATTTTGTTCGACTAGCCCCCCCCCCCCGGGCAGCGAAGTGGACCCAACTGGTTCCTCCCGATCATTCGCCGTGACACCGAGCACTCTCCACAATCGTGAAAAAGCGAAAATGGAATATTCCGTTTTTAGGCCGCCTTTTTCCAAAATATCACATGATCCGGTGAATAAAAGCCCCGGAAAGTCGGTTTCTGTCCAAACCAAGCCGAAAGACCATCGGTTTAACCATTTTTCAACACATTTGTCCAAAATGCGTGCCATGCTACCATTTAGAAGCTAAAAGAGGTCACACATACACACAAAAATGAATGAATTCAATGATCGATCCCCACTCCACGTTTCTGTTTAGTCTTTTTGAAGTAATGTTGGAAAGGGCTGAAGTAATTTCCTCGCAGTAAACTCTCCCAATCCAAGTGTATGTGTGTTTGTTTTTATTAGCCTGATTTCAATTCATCCTTCATCAAAAAGAGTCATTAATATTTCATTATATCATTATATCATTAATGTTTTCACCGCAGGTCTACTCCTCATGAACCTGACTTTCCGATCAGGAGTTCTAGGCAGAAAGATGAGTGGCATGTTCGAAAAAACTCATTTGGGGAGATTTTGGAAAACTTTACGTACCTCGGTAGTTGTATTAGCTCTGATGGAAGTGTGTCTGATGAAGTCAGTGCAAGAATCTCAAAGGCTCGAATCACGTTTGCTAATTTGCGTCACTTGTAGCGTCGAAAAGGCATTTCACTGGATCTTAAAAATCGTGTGTACCAGGATACAGTAAGGGCTGTGTTATTGTATGGGTGCGAGACATGGCCTCTGCGGACAGATGATGTGAGGCGTCTTCAGGTTTTCAACCACCGATGCCTCAGAAGCGCGGCGTCAGCGTGTTAGTAACGAGGTGATTAAAAAACGGATAGTTGGTTGTTCTGCAGGCATCCCAATCCGAGAAAACATCCAGCATCATCGACTGCGATGGCTCGGTCATGTGCTACGCATGCCGAAACACCGTTCAACGAGACGAGTGTTGTTCGCCGTGCCTCAGAATGGTGCAAAGCGCGAGGTGGACAGCGTGTGACTTGACAGAAAGGCGTGAAAGAGATCACGAAGAGTTTGGGTGTTGTTGGTGTTGCAGGCCTCCTAGGATGGGGTCCTTGTGATCCCATCTGTGCTTGGCTGGAGACGTTGCAAGAAATGGCGGCTAATCGATGTCAGTGGCGTTCGTGTTGTCAGTTTCTCTCCAGATTGTCTGATTGAGCGGTTGGAGGTGTAGGCACCTCAGAATGCTTGACATAGGCCAGCACTAGGTCCCCTCCCTCACCCAGTCTTTTTCTTTTCTCTTCTCTGTAGGGTTTTTAATACGGCAGTGAAGCATCAGTGCCAACACTGATGTTGCTGTCTTTGATGATGATGATGATGATGATTTGGGGAGAAGTGGATTGAAAAATACACGGGAATAATAAAATCCGGAGGGGGGGGGGAATCCATTCTGGTCCTTTTTTGGACAAAGTTTTTAGCCAACTGTCCCGTTCGTTTGGCCTCAGAACCTCCCTGAAACCGTTTTGTCTCCATGGTAGGGCAAACATCTACTCGAGTTATTTGTGGGCCGTGTCACGTCTCGTCGGCTTTCAGATAGCTGAGGATCTGAGTTGGTCGGCCTGACGCTTGACATTGTTGACTTGCGAGATATAACTCATTGCGTCCTCTGTTCGCCTTCCCCCCTCTTCTCTACTCATGTTCGCAATTGTTATCATGATCTTCCTGAATGCATGCTTCAGAATCATGCTCAGCATTCACCTCTGTCAGTACACACACTCCTCCAACTCGGCTGGGAGTGAATCGAATCTTTCAGCCGTAGCACTCTGCTACCATGCCATCCAAAAGAAGCACGTTGGCTGGGAAACTGCCAGGTTGCCCAAGCCTAGACAGGGAAAGTCGAAAGGCAGAGCGGGTCGGGTTCGAACCACGGACCTTCCGGTCAGTAACGTCGCCCTCTAACCACTTGGTTCATCTGAGTGTGAATCAGACCCGGTCTGATGAAAGTGGACAATTTTATGAGAATCTATCGGGTTCAAACAGCCTCAGGTTTGACGCCGCTTACTGTGGACTGAATCTCTTGCCGTTCAAGGTCAATGACCAAATCGGTCTCCGGAAGAGGTGATACCGAAAACCCAGGTGTATGGAAATATCTCAATCGTGATGCTTTTATGTAATAAATCCTTGCTATAAGTGGTGTCTTCTTGACGTGTGGAATGAACAACAGTTACCTTTGAGTGAGACCTTGACTCATCGACTCCGTCAGCGAAACATTCAATATGGCCGGCATTTCCACCGGTATGTGGATGACAGAGTCCTCGTGGTTCTAACCCAACTAATCCAAAGATGTCAGACTGATCAACTTTCAGTCCCGATTGAGGGCCAGTTGTTCAGGACTGATTTAATGACTATTCCGGGATGACTGCGAAAAAAATTGTCCATTCAGGCGGAACGCCAAGAAGGTGTCAGGAGAAACTCGCCTACCCGAACAAAAGGTGAACTGTAATTCGTACCGTTCATTCCACGGCAAAAATGTGCGTGTTCCCCAACGTTTTCCCCCGGGTTCTATGCGTTCCGACTAATTTTTTTGAGGAAGGGTTAGGTTAACTATGTCGTCGTTTCGCGGGCTACACTGAAGGTGATATGAATGTCCTTGGTTCATTCTTTAATGATAGATTAAGTGTTTTCTGTCTTCATTTTTCTGTGATGAACAGTCTACGGGAGTGTTTCAGAACTGTGATAGAGCTTTTTTCGTTACTGGCCTTATGCTTTCTCCCCAAGATGATGTGACAGTGCTGTTGGTTTGATTTGTGCTCTCTTTCATCGATGCCTTTTCCGGGGCTCACCATATTCGATCGGGTTCGGTGCAAAACGCAGAGATGTAAATAGTTTAGCGCTTGAGGGGGTTGCTGAAAACTCTTCAGCAGCCCACGTCCGGCTTCGCCCTTTTTGGGGTTCATCAGGTAGGCGCACCGTCACCGAGTTTCCGCCAACTTTATGTTCTACTTGAACCCAAATTGGACTGTTTTCGAGAAATACACTCATTCGCGAATCAATTTGGTTTTCACGAGTGACTGCGCCTACCTGATGAACCCCAAGAGGGGCGGGACCGGTCGTGGGCTGCCAAAGAGTTTTCAGCAACCATGTGAGTAGTTTCTTTTATGAAAACATACCGCGATATCTCGAATATCGTGCTAACTGAATCATGAGGCAACCTGTGTGCAGCACGTTCACTTGTAGAATATCATAAACGAGCGATTCAGTTGAGTCTCTCGTGAAAACCGTTAGAGATCTGTTCGCACTCACGTGACCCTCAGGAAACACGACTGATCTATTGAACCAGAACCTCGTTAGGTAGCGGGTAGTTTCGAAATTGTTGCATCTCCGTTTTTCGTCCCCTATCCATCGACTTCAGTCTCGAGGGGCGATTTGAAGCCGGTTCCTCATTAGCAGCTTACATGGATAGATATCCCGACCACATGCTAGATTCAAGGAAACCGCGAATCTACATAGTCGATCACGGGTCTGTCAAACCGCGCCTATGTGGTGTGGGCTGCGTGGGTAGAGTGTGGGTAGTAATGTGTCGATTCCACTGGTCAGCTCTGTTCTGGTGATGGCCAAAGTGGTCAAGAGCGCGAATTTACTGACCGTAAGGTCCGTGGTTCGAACCCGACCTCTGCCTCTCGACTTCCCCTGTCTAGGCTTTGACAACCTGGCAGAGTATCCCAGCCCTCGTGCTTACTTCGGGTAGCATGGCAGTTAGGCAATGAAAGGGTGCCACAGCTGAACGATCTCTTCTGGAGCGGCTCACTGCTGCTTCTTCTCACAAAGGGCGAAACATACTACTCGTGAGGTTGCTGAAAACCCTTTTGCCCTTAGTCGACCTGGTTCAGCTTTTCGTGTCTCACTTTCGGATCCCCTTGATCCTCAGACTCATCCAAACCTTGTGTCTGCCTTTTTTCCAGGAGCAGAGAAGCTGCTATTTTTGGAAAGTACCGATTTGGAAGACTTGGATGCCTTATCCACCGAGGGCTATTACCGCATTGTCCAGGATTCAGACCCGAATGGCGGTTCGACACAACAACAACAACAGCACAAATAATAATTGCCGCTAAACTGTTTCTTTTTTCTGTTTCAAGCGAACCAGGGGAGTTGCTATTGCTCTAAATTATCCTTGTCGTTTCGGTCATCGCTCTGTTGGGTTGTGTGTACAATATGATTGCTGGACAGCGAGATTGTTTCGTCCACCCTAACCCACATGTAATCATTGACTTCCCTGGGGTGTATAGACTGCCGCCGCCGCTGCTGTTGCCCCTGCTTTACCGCCGTCGCCTTCTCGCTTTTTTATTCCTTGTCTCTGTTGTGTAGGTACTCAAAGGCTGTCAAATGTCCCACTCCCCAGGTCCGCATGTTTCAGACGAACGTTGCGCAGCTCCCCAATGTGTATGTACTCTTCGTTCATCCCTGACACTCCTTCCTTGGGAGCCGAATCCCAACAGCCTCCAATTCCCATTTTTGAGTGTCCGCCCCCCCCCACGCCTGCCAGATTTCATAAGCCTGCATGGTTCTAATTTTCGGCCCGAAACCTCTTTCGTCCCGGACACTGTGAGACGCCTTTGTTTCTTTCGATTCGTCGCTGTCCCCCAGCGGCACTTTCTGGCAACGTGCAAATAGATTCAATTGGTTGATCCACTCTCTTGTGTGCGTGTGTGTGTGTATCCACACTATCCGAAAAACAATGTACTCTCGCCGACTGTACACGTGATCGGCTAATTGCATCAAGGCCAACTGACAGTTATTGTGTCCACCAAGTGCACTTGGACCAGGGTGGACTTATCGATCGGTGGCACCCGCTTCTGTAGGGTGCAATCGTTTGGTTGTGGAAAGTGTGACCTTGTGGGACAAAACTAATCGGTGCATGCATTTTGTGTGGGGAATTGGTGAATTGTTCATTCCTCGTTTGAAATTGTGGACGTAGGGTAGCGTGAAATCTGACCAAGTTGCATTTCGCTGATCAGAACGAACACTATGACCCTGTGCATACCTTCAAAGCTCTCTATCGACCTTGAAAAAATCGGCCTTCAAAACAGCAAGGAGACGGGTTGCGGATGTGAACTTTCCACTTACCTTTACTCGCAAGCTCGGTGACGCAGGTTGAGTAGTGATCGTCATACCGCTTAGGTGTAGCTGTAGCACCTTTCGGGCGCCTAACTGCTATGCAACCAGAAGGAAGCACTAGGGCCGACATACTGCCAAGTTGCCCAAGCCTAGACAGGGGAAGTCGAGAGGCAGGGGTCGGGTTCGAACCACGGAGCTTCCGGTCAGTAAGTTCGTGCTTAGGTGTTTATTGTGTGATAGCCAATGAAACACTGTACAGCGGTCCCAATATCCATATATAGCCTGCTATTAAGGAACTGTACCTAGATCGAATCTACTGTGGGTAGCTTCTTGCAGAGAACTTCAACCCCACCCAGTTGTTCCTTCGTTCACCCAATGGAACACCATTGGGATCAGCTCGATTGATCGTTAGCGCACCACGAGTTTCGTCAATATTCAGGTAATCGGAGTGATGTTCCTGGTAGTTAGTTTGGTCCGATCGGTCAGGATCTGTCGGTTGCTGACCACGGGTTCTGGGCTCTCCAGGCAAACATAATATCCGAGCGTATATGCGAGGTTAAAGACTTATTTTCGAATGGAGACGTAGTGCTCAATTGGATTTCCCGCATTTGCGCTGATTTTTGATTGATTGTTCGGCGACAAGGCTGTCGGATTGTTCAGTCGGGCCTATTTACACGATTTCCGAGTTTCTCTTTGGACCATTATACTACTTAAATGACTGGTGAAAATCTACTGACGGCGTCTGTCGGTTCTCCCTAGTTGAGGCACACCAGTCCGGCTCGGATGACGGATTTCGATCAACTTTGAATCCTGATTTTCGTGTGGACCGCATTTTCGATCAACGTGTGCATATAAGCGAGGAACCTGAATTTCTGGGTGCCGTTTCCTTATTCACAGACCGGTTCGACTAGCAGACCTTGTGTCGAGGTGTGTACCAGCTAACCTTTGTCCACATTTCACTCGGGGGTTTCGGAGCAGAGTACATGCTCTCAAAGTGACTTGCGATGCCGAATGTTCCGACTACTACTCGATAATCTCAAATCCCGGGACACCCAGCAACGCCCATGTTTGTCTTGCTTCAATTACTTCATCACCCACATGCAGTGCATTGTTACCTATCGACCCGATCAAATCGTGTCTACGGAATCAGCCGTCTTCCGGCTGCACCGATCTCCGCGTTAGTCCTTTACCGAAGCGTACATCCTTGACCTAAACTTAGTAGCGGCGTGGGGCTAATCAATACGTCACGTGATAAGTTTATTGATTTAGTACTAAGCCGGTGGACTGCCAATCTGCAAACTAGTTAACGAGTGAACCCCGGTTATGGGTGCCTGTGCGACTTGTCTCGGTTAGTACTTTTTGGCCAGTCGTTTCGAGTAGTTTTCAGGATGACAAATTGTCACTTAACTTATATTCCGTTTTTTTTTTAAAGAAAAGATGTTTGCATGCTAACTCCTGTTCGACCTCGTTTGGGCGTCCTGAAAGGAGCTACCGGCTTCTCCCCATCGATCAGAACGCAGCAATTCGCGAAGCTAAAGGTCAACACAAACGAAAGAGAGACGTGTGTTCGGGCAGACGAATTGAACCGTGTTCACTGCCAAGCTGTTAAGCCAACAGCGCCGTGTAAGGTCGCCCACCCGCAGTGTGTTCTCTAATACATACACTGTCCGCAGAACAAAGATGATCGGGGGAGCATCAATCACTCAACTAGTAAGCAAGCATATGGAGACAGTTTCAGAGTGACATTCTACATAGCCACTGTCGGGAAATGTGGCCACACATTACATGTATCCACCGTGTCTTTTTCGTTCCAGAATTTGAGCAGGGACGTCTTACTGTAACATATGTTCAGCTGTAGCACCCTTTCGGTGCCTAGCTGCCCGAGGGCTGAGATACTGCCAGGTTGCCCAAGCCCAGACAGGGGAAGTCGGGAGGCTGTTTCCCGTTCACCCGAGATTCATTCGCGACGTGTATTTCATGCATCTGGGCGGGATTCGAACCCACAAACTTTCGGATTGACTGATTTCAAGTGACCGCCTTCTGCTCCACCATTTGGTTGATTCGTGTGTGTAAGACCATCCGTAGTGGCGCACGATATTATATGACCTAATGTGGACTGATCGAATGTAGAAACGGATCGACTGGAAAAAGCGTACGGTGGTATCGATCCGTTTCTAGTTTAGGGTGCATTTTTCCAAATGTTTCCTCCGGCAACTCACTGATACTTGGTGTAGCGGTGATGCTACTGATGGGGGAGGGACGCGAGTAGTATATTTTCTTGTAGATTCGCTTTGCGTCTCTTCAAACGTGAGATCTATTACAGAATTTGTGGAGTGGCTTTGTAGCATTTGCTTGGATTTGAGCAACAGTCAATGAATATCCAGAAAAGTTCAGAAAGACGCGTTCAAAGAGAGGATGGATATTCAGTTTTTGTGAACAAGATGCATAGGAGAGTTTTGCTTTCCTGTCTGATAGTTTGTCACTGCTCAGTTGGCATTTTTTAAATAAATAACTCTGAAGCGAACGCCTTCTTCCTTTCACTGGGAAATAGTCTGGAATCTCCTAAAACTAGGTACCCCCAGGATAACCCAACTGCGAGGATCCTTTATTTATAAGTTTTGTGAATAAAAGTTGAAAAAAACGTTAGAAATTAACGATTCCCGGCCGTGCAATGAATCGAAGAAGGACCCAGAATAACTAGAACACAAATACGTTCAGAATTAATTAGACAGAATTGTACAACTCTGAACAAGGACCAGGAAATCCAGGAAGCAAGAGACCAACATAATTGGAACTTTGCGAAGAGAAGTCGTGCAAATCACCCAACCTTACCCAGGAGTGGAAACCGTAGTTTGAGAAATGATCGGTCAGATTGAAGATGAAAACAATGGAAGGCAGACATTGAAACAGCTGGAAAGAAGTTCGGATCGCAAACTGACCAATCACAACTTGAGCCAAGGAGCTCCAGAATGACAGGCCACAGATCGCGAACGGACCAGTCGAGCCCTAAATGTAATGACCTTTGAGCAGCCAACCGCGTTATTCTTTACAAACTATAGAAATTCAACAACCAGGATAGGGACTACCCGCTCGGCCGCGTACTGCAGATATCTCCTCGAATAGTGGTGAAACGTTTGCAAGTCAGTTGCCAACGGATCGATCAGTTGTTGGCAGTTGACCTGTACCTAGTCAGCCGCATCTACTGCTCAAAATGTTGGACGTTCGATATGCTAATGGGTCGTGTTGGAATGCATCTAAGCGTAGTTCTTCTGTAAAACTGAGCCCTACCGAACTATCGTGGGTGCCAGTTGAGATTTGTGCGCCTGATCACTGTCGTCCTCGTGAGAAGTTCTTATCATTTTGAGTAATTTCTATTACGGAGCAGTACTTCTGTGGTGGTTTCAGTAAATTCGGGGCTCTTGCTCTGCCCCGGGAAGGGTTCCGTGGTGAGGGACTTATAAAACCTGTGAGCGCGCTGGCGCAAACTTGAGTGCGCTCCCCCTTAACCGCTTTTCCACTTCAAGTAGTATATTTGTGTTAGTTGACTAAGAAAATATTATTACTAAAATTATTCCACATCGCTGGTCCTGTGTGCACGAGTAGTACTAGTGTGGCGGTGGACACTACTGATGAAGCATGTGAGTAGTATGTGGCTTACTCTTAAATCCGCTTCGCGTCTATTGGAAAGTGGGATTTATCACGGAATTTGTGGGTTCGCTTTGTAGCATTCGTTTACATTTAAGCGATAGTGAGTATCCAAGAAAGTTGGGAAGCCGCTGAAAAGAAGACAGATATTCAATTTCTATAAACAGGATGCATATGAGAGTCTTGTTTTTCTGCCTAGCAGTCTGTAGCTGTTCAGTTAATGTTTTCCAATAAATAACTCCGCAGTGAAGACCTTTTTCCTTTCACCAGTAGCAATGGAAAGTAGAATGAAAAACGGCGGGAACCTGGTCTCGTTGTATCGCGCTTGATATCTGCATCGTCGGGATCTTCCAATGCCAACAGACGGGTGTTTGCACTTTGAGGACTGTTCTCCTTTACAACCCCAAAAATTCCGGTTCATGGCCGTTTGAAAGTACATCCCTCTTCCTCCCATGACATAGATCATGATGTGATTCGGGAAACCTCAGAAAAATTGCAATAGCTCTTTCCGTTAACCGCACAATATCCGGTCGTTGATGTTCTACTGAGTCTCGGATTTTGTGAGCTAACTGTGCAGACTGCTGTATTCTGTCGGTTGTGAGGGCGTTCCAGAAATTGCCATTTTCCCTGGTGCGAATGCTGAGGATGCAGCTTGTTTATCTGTTTTTACGCTCCTACCGGTCTAGCCAGTCCACTGTGAAGCCAAACTGACGGATTCACAGATGACCTGTAATATCCTGTGCAGGCGGGCCGCTTGTTTTGATTCGACAAGTTTCTATCCGACAAGAGAAAGCTGATCATTCTCTGTTTCAACAGACTGACCTCGATTCACTGATGACGTTTGTTCCATTCATCAAAGCACTTGTTGTT